TGCCCCCTCTCCAGTCCGTGCCCCCTGAGATCTCTTCTCCTCGCACCTTCCCCTATCGAGTCCCTCGGGCTCCCCTGCCCGCGCCACCTCTCCCCGGTGGGGGCGGGGGCGGGTGCATGAGGAGTTTGGGGGTGTCGTGAAGGGCCTAAGCCCCCGCAACGTTTCACTCCCGGGCTGCGGTGGCCACTGCTGGGCACTGCTGTGACTTCTCCTTGGGTTCTTCCCGCGTTGCGGCGGCAATGAAAGGGTTAATAGAGCGCGGAGTTTTCCCGGTGAAAAGGTGAGATCCGGGGTTTAAAAGGGGTCCTTGAGTGACTTGAGTTTTTAGCGCCTGCACCACGGACCTTCCTCCCTGCCCCAACTCTGAGCGTTCTCTCCTTGCTGCGGGGCTGGGGGCTCTGCATGGTGGCAGCTGAGATACACACGGGAGGGGGCCGACCGCCCAGCTCTGGCTGGACAGGTGCCAGAACCCACCCCCTTCACCAGCCCCTGCCCTCCCTCGCCCTGGAGTTTGCGGAGGGGGTGGAGGCCGGGGGAGAGGCGGGGCTGGGTGGACACGTGCTGGGGTCAGAGAAGGATTCTCTCTGGGTGGGGGAGGCTGGTCTTGGCAAATGGCAAGCGGCAGGGTGTGGGCGGGTGTAGTTAATTGGGGGAGCGTGGTCCCTAGGAGCTGGGGCTGTGTGTGCACTGGGGTGGGGGCAGGGACAGACTGGCGCTATCTGTGTCGGCACGTGTATCGCCCTTATTTATAGCGCGGGGGGCCGGCCCTTGGGGATGTAGGAAGTGTGTTTAAACTCGTGGCTCACGTTAATGGCTCCAGCGTCCAAGTACCTTGGCCTGTGTATCAGTAGAGGTATGTGCCTGTGTGTGATGGATGGAATGAGAATTGGAGTAGATATCATCGTATGATGTGTATGTTTCTGAGTATGGGTTCATGTATTTTGTGTGTACAGGTGCTTGCTTACATGCTTATTGGGACAAGGAAAGTTGCATACTGGCTTATGTGTCGGGGGCATGTATGGAAGTTCTGTGCACACGTGCGGGTCTTGATAGCTGTGTGCAGTAAGGGTATGTTTGCTCCTTCGGGTGCGTGGGCTGGTTACATGTGCCAGGGTGTTGAGGTATATCTGGCTGTGGTTGGAGTCTGTGTTCCTGTGTGCTTGGTACCTGTTTGGGGCGTGTCTGGCTGTGGGAGGAGCTGTGTGTGCACACACACCTGTCAGCAGATGTGCCCACCCACTGGTGCCGAAGGCCATTTCCTCTCCTCCTGTGAGCAGGCTGCCTGGGGGCCTGAGGAATTTCAGCGTGGCCTAGGCTGCCACTCCCAGGCAGAGCCCCACGCTGGAGAACAGAAGGAATGCCAAAACTGGGATCATGTTCTGTCCCACACACCCCGCCCCCAAGAAACTTGCCTTGGGCCTCAGAAGTGTAGTGCACCCATTGAGCCTGGGTTCAAATGCTGGCTCTGTGTGACCTTAGGCAATTTCATAACCTTTCCGTATCTTGGTTTCCTCATTTTCTTTAAGACAGAGGTAATGACAGTACCTACCTCACGTGGAGAAGACTGAATAAGTTAATGTGCAGTAGGCCCTCACACATAGTAACTACTGTAGAAGTGTCAGTTATCGTCACCATCCTCCTCATCACTCTCTAAAGTCCTAGGACCTGCTCCTGGCTCAGCTTCCACCTTGCTCCCTAGGTGACCTTGGGCGAATTCCTACCTACTCTGGGCCTCAGTTTCCCCCTGTAAAGGGAAGGGCTGGACCAAATAACCTCTCATGTCCCCTGCCCTCATCTCTGAGGCTCAGCTTCTGTGCTGCTTCCTAGGGATGGGGTGCCCCACCCAGCCTGCCTCGCCCAGGGAAAGCCTCCCCCACTTTCTCTGCCTTCTGCTCTCCGGCCAGGAAAAGGATGGATGGAGAAATTTAATTTACATTGGTGTGCTTATGATAATGGCCACTTAGTGTCATGGTCAAAGTGCCAGCTCCGGAGCCAGACAGCAGTTTAGAATCTGGTTCCTCTCTTCTGTGACCTTGGATGGATTTCTTACCCTCTCTTTTCCTGCTCCCTCTTCTGTAAATTTGGGGTAATATTCATACCCCCCTTGGCATGGGTAACTGTATCAGCGTGGCACAGTCAAGCATTATTCTGAGAGTTTTTGTGAAGGTGTTGTTTGGATGAGATGAACATTTAAATCAATGAACTTCCAGTAAAGCAGATTACCCTCCAGAATGTGGCTTGGCCTCATCGAGTCAGTCGAAGGCCTTAGTAGAACAAAGACTGTCGTCCCCTAGCACGGGGTCCTGCCAGCAGCTGGCCTCTGGATGCGGCTGCAGCTCTTCCCCCACTTCCCCTGGTTTCCAGCCTGCCAGCCTCCCCACCAGATTTTGGACTCACCAAGCCTCCACAATCACATGAGCCAATTCCTAAAATAAATCTCAATCTCTCTTTCTTTCTGTCTCTCTGTGCACATCCTGTTGGTTCTGTTTCTCTGGAGAGCCTTGGTTAATAGACAACTCATGGTTAGAATGAAGATCAGATAAACTAATACATGTGAGCGTGCATAGAACGCTGCCTACAACCTGGAAAGCTCTCTGTAAGTGCTGTTATTGAATGAGCACCTACTGTGTGCTAAGAACTTTACATGCTCCTCACCTGCTGCTCAGCGCCACGTTGCACGGTAGGAGGTAGGAGTCCCATCTTGCCTATGAGAACCTGGGCCCTGAGGGGGTGACTGCCCGCAGTCCTTGGCAAAGTGCAGGCGGGAGTCCACCTCTAGGGCTCTGCACTGCTCTATAATGAACTTCACCAGGCTTCCCAGGGTCACTCCAGCCAGGGACGTTTGCGCAGAGGAAATGGGCGCTGTTCCTGGTCTTCACTGTTCGCATGTTAGTCCCAAAGCCGGAGCTCATCCTTACTGAGCACAGAGCTTAGGCTTGAGGCAAGGCTGGGAGGGGGAGTCAGCAGAGACAGAAAGGTCTCAGGAACTCTGTGGAGGAAGCAAGACTGGTGACCTTGAAAACTGGAAGGCAGCGTGGCCTCTGTCCTTCCCTCCATTGACCCTGCTCCTTCCCTGCATCTTCCCACCTCAGGGACTGGCAACACCCACCCCCGGTGCTCAAGCCCAACATCTGGAAGTCATTCTTGACTTCCCTTTCTCTCGCCTGCCAACTTGCCCTCCAGATCCTTCCACTTCTGTCCCCACCCCCACCATCACACCTGTTAGAGGAGCCCTTCAGCTCTCCAGGAGAAGCTGGCTTCCTACCTGGCCTCTCTGCTTCCACCTTTAGCCCCCTACCTGCCATTCTCCACACCACAGCCGGGTGAGCTCTTAAAAAGATAGATCAAATAACGTACCTTCCTGTTTAAATTCTCCCAGGGATTCCCCAGCACACCCAGAATGCACTCCTTACCCTGGCTTACAGAGCCCTGGGTGACTGGGCCCCTGCCTGCCTGCCTGCCCCGGGCTTTGGCCCTCCCGTCCCCCACCCCCACATTCCCACTCTGCACACTGCTCAGCCACACCCGTCACCTTCTGCTCCTCAGACACATCGAGCTCAGTCCTCCCTGCGGGCTTTGTACTCGCTCTGCCCTCTGCCTGGAATGCTCTTCCCTGATCTTTCACACAGCTGCCTCCTTAAGATTCCTGCATAACTGTCCTCTGCTCAGAGAAGCTGCCCCTCAGATCACCCCACCTCTGCCCTCAGCATCACTTACCACACCCTAGTCATATTGTGTGTTCTCTTGCTGCTTCTCTGTCTCCCATCACCCTGAGCAAAGACCTTGGCTGCGGGGCTCACACCGCTACCCGGGTCCACTCGTGCTTACTGAATGGGTGGGTGGATGGAAAAATGCAAGTGTGCGAGAATGAACCCCGAGCAGTCAGAAAGGTGATTGTAGCTTCAAATTGGGGGTCATTATCTGAAAAGAGGAGAAATTTTTCTGCTTGAGTCTGCAAGGACTCAGTGACTTGTTTGGAGATCAGATACTTCAACTGACCTAACTGAGCACCAGCTGTATTCTAAGCACTGTGTATGGTGTTGAGGTTACAGGAATGTATCTTTCTGCCCTCGAGAAGCTTGCAGTCTGCTGTGGGTGATGAACTCTATAGACACGAATGTGCTATTAGATGGAGGGAAGTGAGGGGGCAGCATGGTTACCTAGGGAAGAGCAGTCCAGGCCAAGGGCACAGCATGTGCAAAGGCCCGGGGGTGGGAACATGCCGGCTGCCTGAGGTGGAGAACGGGGAGGGCAGAGACCTACAGGGGGTGGGGGTGGCAGGAGGTAGCACTGACCACATAGGGCCTTGCAGGACATTGGAAGGATTTTGACTTTCACTGAGTGAGATGAGGAGCCACTAAAGGGTTCTGAGTAGAGCGGGGACATGATCTGACTTCCGTGGTAGAATGATGGAGGATGATGAGGGAGGAGACAGGTGAGGGGTGCTGGTGCCCCATTGGCAGTGGAGGGGTGAGACACTGCCGGGGTGGGATGGACACTGCTGATTGGATAAGGGCTACAAGGGAGAGCTTGTGTGGAAGCTGGGAAGCGGCTGCATCAGATTCTCAGGTCCCCTTCCCAGTCAGGTGACCTTGGACACATCCCTTCACCTGAGCTTGGCAACCTCACCTGTTCTGTTGTTGTGTCAGTCAGAGAA